TAAAGGCCAAAGAGTGATCTTTGAACGTTACTACGCATCCTTATTAATTCATAGGTATAGTGTAAGGTAGGTTTGTTTGGGTATAGAAGGACTTGAACCTGCGACCATTAGGTTAAAAGCCCAATGCTCTACCAACTGAGCTATACACCCCAAATATAAAAATATAGTTGTAAATAAAGATTGGTGCAGAAAAGAGGGCGGGGTTGGGTCTGGCCTTCTCCTCATCATATTAAAGGGGCTCTGTAAGAGGCTCGTACTGCGGAGCAAGCGAAGAATAAGGGCGCGCGTTAGCACTCCTGCAATAAAACGGCCTTACTCAACAAGCGCACCTTTATTAGTAAGTTGTTTACACTCATTGAAGATTCTATCTACAAAAGAAGGTCAACGGGGGATACTAAAGTTGCTCTCACTGACACCATCTACGAGAAGGTGAGGTTGTCTTTCTTTCCAGCCGCCATATGGTTCGCCTTAAAGCCGGAGAAAGGGAGGAGCTGTTATCTATGTAATTACGGTCTTTGTTGGCCGTTGTTCCGGTCGAGCACTCTCTTTTCTTTGCTTTGTTCAATAGTCTTACCAAACAAGACTGACTTCTGACCAACCCGCGAAGGGTTGTGAAGTTGGACCAGGTACGAAGAATGAATCTATATCTGTGTACGGTACGGAAGTTGTTGGCCGGCGGCCGCTCAACTGTTCGAGCGCAATACAATGGTGGTTGGTTCCGATTTGACAAGGGTATAATGCCTGGTCGAAGGTCCAGTACAGTAGGTAGCAGGCGTGTTCGTTTTGGCTCCCGAGCGAGAACGATAAATAGACGCTGCACCATTCTTGCTGCTATGTACGTGAACCTTGACTTGAGAGATTCATCCAATGGAACCCACACTCAAAGGAGGACCACAAGCTCGGGGCTCGATGAAACATAAAATATCAGCATTAAGAAACTTCTTGGGGTTAGCAGTGAAAGAAAGAGCCCGGCATTCATTCATATTCATAGCTTAGTCTACAAAAATAAAAGAGGGACCAGCCTCATCGTGGTAATTATCGGACATCTCTGATCGTTCACCTCTAATGTGACACGTTCCCTCCCAGTTATATGATCAACGGGATCAGTCGGCTAGAGAGCGGGGCTATTCTTCTTCCGGGGAGGCTAAGTCGTCCCCTCTACTGATCGAACCCTCAGTTCGGGGGTCTTCGTCAACATGTTATGAGGCTCCAGTCTTTGGGGGGTCACCATTACTTGACTTAGAAAGGCGAACATCTAGGCAAGGGAAAGCGCAGTGCGCCTGGTGCAAATGGCTTTTATTTTTCATGATATACCAATCAGAATGGGGGACCCTACCTACGTACATGATTGATAGAAGAACTACTTAGGGGGTCAGTCAACTTGATGCGGCAGAGGCATGAGTGCAATTCGATCTTGTGGTGTATTCGTTTGTAGTGAGTAGGGCCTCTTTCTCGTTGATCAGTTCTCCTCCGCTCTATTGAAAGGTCTCCATTCCTACGGCGGTTTTGTCAACGAACGCGTCTCGGGCCGGATTTACTAACCTAACCCTTAATTAAGGGGGCCTTGCCATAGTTGGGTGCTCTGCTTTAGTGTGATTGACGAAGGCTAGGCTAGTAATACCCCAAATAAATGAAAAGAGATCGGGGTCGATAGTTGGCAAGGAACTTGATCCCCCCAAAACAAAAAAGGGGCAGCTGCGGTCGAACTCTAATTTTGGAAATAAAATAAGTCGGGGCCCTTTTACCTTACCAATTCTACCAGATAGAAATTTTAAGATCGGGTTCAAATAGATACGGGAAAGGCTTTCTCCCTAAGTGGAATCGGTGGAATGCCCTGCTTTCGGCTAAGTATAGAGTTGGGTCTACCGTTCATTCAACCGTTACCTCTATTCTATTCCGATCTTTATTTTCTCCTTTGCTTCCTTGTCTCATCTATCCTTCTCTGCCTTCATCCTATCTTGGAGCTCTATCCCGTCCTTCCTTTGGCTTGCCCTGAGGATGGATTTACTCTCCAAAGTCGATTTAATCACTGCGAGTTCGGTTCAACTCTTCATCGATCGGGTGGATCTTTGAGGGGGGATGGAAAGGTGGGTGAGTCATGGTTGTGGACAGAGAGAAAGAAAGCGGTAGTGGAATAGATTTCTAGTAAGTGTCTTCTTTCCTTTTCTTCTAGTAAAGGCGCGCCGTCAGGTCTCTCTTCTTGGGATATCTTGATCACCAGAAAGGATAGAGATATTAAGTAGACATGCTTTAGACAAGCTTTAAACCGAATTCCTTCCTTACAGTAGTAGCTGTGCAGTGGGAATAGTCGCCAAATAGACTGAATGAGTCTTAGTGTCGTAGTAGTATTACCTTCGTCACCTTCCCTCTGTCCCTTAACTGCTGACAGCAAGCATTCCTGGGGCAAATAATTTGTAAAAGAATAGAAAATAGAAGTAGCATCCTCCTGGTGGAAGGTTTGAAGGAAATAAATCATCAGTTGTGGGATGCTTAGACGGTACTAGTGCTTGAGTAAGCGGTGCTCCCTTTCTGTTTGCAATTACCGCTGCAGAATAGTCATCCCTAAAAGAAGCTGTTTTCAAATTAAAATAGGTTGCTTTTAGAATAGGTTGTTCTCAAATAAGCTCTTTGAAAGATAACTTAATGCGTTTAGTCCCTTGGGGATGGGTTTGCACTCAGGGGCTCTTTTTAGCACTTTTGAGGAAGTGAAGACGAATAGTCGACTTTGTTGCCTGCTTGACGGCTTTCATCTCCTGATGTAAGAAAAGGTGTTATATCGCATTCTTTTAGCTGCAAGGGAACCGTCTGTAGTGGTTGAAGTAGAGCCAAGCAGTGATGGACTAAGCGAGTCAAATAACGCTGGTGCGAACCATGTTGGATGACGGGTGAGGGTGAGAAAGAAGCCCTGCTCTGCTGCCCTGTGTTAAGCAAAGTGAGTTTACTTCGTTTCAGGCCATGTTATTCAATCTCATGGAACTAAACTCTTAGATGCAGCATGCAACCGCCTCCATCCATCGGCACATCCGCCCCGCTTAGCCGCATTGTTCATCTTGAAAGGGAGCCGCGAGGTGTTGTCATGTCAAGCCCAAGGTTCGTTCTACTGCTGTCAAATTTCTACCATTTACACGGGGGGGGGGGGGGGGGGGGGGGGTCTTCTTGCAACGATCTTCGTTTCTTCAGGAATGGTGTCGGTCAATTGGTGTATAGGCCACCTCGGTCCAGTTTAGAATTTACCTCTATTTTAAATCCCAGTTCCTTGTTAGCTGGGAAACCCCTCCTCTATGAAGCAGAGAATGATCGATCGAAGACTGAGAAGATAGAATAAATAATATGTTTTAAGCATCGGTTGCGACATCGAATGAGACTTATCCAGGGAGCAAAGGGAAAAGGAAGACCGAGTGGGATCCAGGAAACTAGCAAATTGATCACTAATAAGGCTCTGCTTTGTCCATCTGAGGAGGAATGCTGCTAAGAGCGGATATGCCCCATCTCTCGAGAGAAAAGTCCCTATAGTATTCCTCCAACAGGTAATTCGTTGAAAAGACTAGCATCATCTTTGTCACAAAGATGTGGAACTTCGATATAGAAGCTCTTTCGCCTCTAGTAAGCGGTTTAACCTCTCCTTTGTTCACTCGTGTCCCTTACCAAAACAAAACGTTCAGGCACTGCAAAGGCATAAGAAAGCATATAAGATAGGCTCCAACCAAAAAATAAAAAAAAGAAGAAAAATAATGCTAATGGATCCGTTTTTATAGATGACATAGCCCTTGAAAGCCCTATTATGAGCAGGAGAGGATTGGGGGAAAACTAGAGGGGAGAGCTATTGAGTCACTACCTAATAATATATCCTTTTAGCTTATAGAGGATAAGGATAAAAAAGATCTTTTTGAAAGCGCTACGATATAACTCTTCGAGGCATAGCGACCTTCTTTAAGCCATATTGACGCCGTGTCAAAGACTCTTTATTCTAGGTTAGCTCTCGAGTAAGCGAGAAAGAAAACATTCTTCGCTCCATGAAAACAAGTCAGTATATCTTGAGTGAGCAAGAAGAATAGAATGCTCAATATCAACAGGATGTACCTTATCCCTTTGGCCAGTCCAGTCCCTCTTTAGCATCTCAATAATTTGCGCTGTTCAGAAAACATAAAAAGAGTAGGTGTCTTGGTTTGCACAATTGAAGAATAAAATTAAGGGCTTGTTCTCAGATGCCCATAAATTGCCCATTTGCAAAAGCACTAGGCATAGAAGGGGCTGTTATGAAGAGTTGTGCAAGTGACATTTTCAACTAAAACGATAAATAAGCCAAAAGCGCACTTTAGATATACTATACTCTAGCTTTAGAGTTATAGGTTGCGACGGTGGAAGTAGAGGTTTAGGCTTGCCCCTGCTAGACTTTGCCTGCCATCTTACTAGAATAAATCTTCCAAGTTTCAAGGGTGCCTTTGTAGCAAGAAGGAGCATCGACTGTGAGGGAATGGTCTCTTGCAAAGAATATAGGGAGGTATTGCCCATACATAGGTGCTGTGCTCATGCCCATGCCATGGGCAATGCCGCAAAAGTTCAGGGACGGTCGTAGCTACAGGTTATTTTTTTTTAAGATTACATGCTTCCACAAACAGAAGCCCTGATACGAACTGGGCCGGTCTTTCATATGTTTATAACAGCTAGACAAAAGCATTCCCACTACGGTGGAAGAGATGATTCGGCCAACCAACTAGAGGACAAGGTAAAGCAAAGTCATTGGAAAACCTGACGTGGGCTCGCAATAGGCCCAGCCCAGCCGAAAAGCTTTGGTATAGGAAATAAATAACTTAGCTGTGGAGGGGTCCCTGCGCTAAGACTTTGCACTTGGCTAGTTCGCGTGGATCACTCATCTCTCAACGTGCGTGATTCCATGATGATCGAAGGCTTTGGTGAGGAAAATCATTCCATCCTATGCCCTGGGTCTTGGTCTTTATCAAGGCTATTTGAACTAATCTGAATCATAAAAATAAGATGGGGTTTTTAGGCGGTGACAAGGTCCAAAAGAGATAAGTATAGCGGGAAGAAGGGCGAAAAAAGAGAGAGTGTGACTCGTATTCTTATATTATAATAGATATATATATCTAAATAGAATAAAGAATTCTCAGTCTTGTTCGCCACAAGGAGGAAGCTAGCCTATGTGGAAGAAAGCATATTCAACACAAAATAGTCGTCTTCTTAGTGCTTATCTCTTTTCAGCGGAACAGAAAGATATCCTATACTAGGCCATAAGAAACTGCGTCTTATGGTCCGGTCCATAGTTAGACCTTCCCCAATCCTCTCGTGACAATCCTGGTATACTAGAATGTAGACCTCGGGGAGGGATTCCCTCCCGAAACCTTATACCTAATATACAACTCTAAATAACTCACATAGTATTATACAAACACTTCCGGATATTGTTTGTACGGGCGCTCTTGTTATTTTCTTGAAAGTAACCCCCGGTTATCTTCAGGAAAATGACATTAAGAGCATCCCTGGTTACTAACCGGGAATATTAAGCTAAAGCAAGGCTGCAATTCCCTACGAGGGAATTGAGATAAGGCTTTGACCTTCTTGTAGCTAGCTGCTTGGAGCTAAAATGCAAGGCCGCAAACCCCGTAGCGGGGTTTGAGACAAGGCCTTGACCGACCTGTAGCTAGCTGCTTGTAGCTTGTAGCTCAGAGCTCGTAGCTGCCGGCCGGCCTTAAGAAGCAAGGCCTAAATCCTCGCCTGGGGCGTGGATTGAGACAAGGCCTTGACTTTATTCCTCAATGGAAATGCGAGGGAAACGAGCTACAAGCCCTATTTGATAGGGGACAAACCGATGGTAAATCTCCTTGAGGTGATATACCATTAAAGGGGCCTTTTAAGGTGCCTTAAAAGGTGGATTGGTTAAATCAAGATTCAACAATGGAATTTATAAGTTAAACACTAAATGTGTTTGACGGCATCCTTCGTTCAGGGGTCGGGGCTGCCTCTCTCTACCTCACCACCCCTGGAATAGGGTTGGCCAGTTTTCGTGACCACTCACTCAAACTGCCTATTCAAGGTATGGAGCCGGCGTCGATCGTATAGTAAGCTGAAAATAGGATACATATTCGATCCTAACATTCAGCAGAGGGTACGCAACACCAGTAGTAATGATGCGATGATAACCTCTAGTTTCGGCCCTCCCCGGGCCTTGAATTTTGTCGTCGGTGTGGAGAATAGGGGATTACCCTAGGGAAGTGAAAGGCTCTCCCGCAGGAGAGTTCATTTTCAAAAGTTCAATTTCCCTAGGAGCTACTGATTGGGGTTTAACCCAAACCTACATTAGGGGTCTCGTCCCAACTATACTCCGAAGCTTATTGCTCCCACGTGCGTGACTATCGGTCTCAAAGTATCCGAAACCACCTACAATAAACAACCACGCTACAACAATCAAGTGTTCCTCGGGGAGGACCTAAAACTTTAGCGAGATGGTAAGAAATGGTAAGCTGGTGAGTTAATTAGAGCATGAAGTGAGGGGGCTCGGGTGAGGACCCGAAACTGGGGAAAAGATAGAGTAGCGCCCCGCCCCGGACTACCAAAAAAGGTAGAGGCGGAGAGAGGCGCGCAGAGTATATATTATTGTGTAGGGAGAGAAGACCTCGGGGAGGGATTCCCTCCCGAAACCTTATACCTAATATACAACTCTAAATAACTCACATAGTATTATACAAACACTTCCGGATATTGTTTGTACGGGCGCTCTTATTATTTTCTTGAAAGGAACCCCCGGTTATCTTCAGGAAAATGACATTAAGAGCATCCCTGGTTACTAACCGGGAATATTAAGCTAAAGCAAGGCCGCAATTCCCTACGAGGGAATTGAGATAAGGCCTTGACTTTCTTGTAGCTAGCTGCTTGGAGCTAAAATGCAAGGCCACAAACCCCGAAGCGGGGTTTGAGACAAGGCCTTGACCGACCCGTAGCTAGCTGCTTGTAGCTTGTAGCTCGCAGCTCGTAGCTGCCGGCTGGCCTTAAGAAGCAAGGTCTAAATCCTCGCCTGAGGCGTGGATTGAGACAAGGCCTTGACTTTATTCCTCAATGGAAATGCGAGGGAAACGAGCTACAAGCCCCTATTTGATAGGGGACAAATCGATGGTAAATCTCCTTGTGGTGATATACCATTAAAGGGGCCTTTTAAGGTGCCTTAAAAGGTGGATTTGTTAAATCAAGATTCAACAATGGAATTTATAAGTTAAACACTGAATGTGTTTGACGGCATCCTTCGTTCAGGGGTCGGGGCTGCCTCTCTCTACCTCACTACCCCTGGAATAGGGTTGGCCCGTTTTCGTGACCACTCACTCAAACTACCTATTCAGGGTATGGAGCCGGCGTCGATCGTATAGCAAGCTGAAAATAGGATACTTATTCGATCCTAATATTCAGCAGAGGGTATGCAACACCAGTAGTAATGCTGCGACGGCAACCTCTAGTTTCGGCCCTCCCCGGGCCTTGAATTTTGTCGTCGATGTGGAGAATAGGGGATTACCCTAGGGAAGTGAAAGGCTCTCCCGCAGGAGAGTTCATTTTCATAAGTTCAATTTCCCTAGGGGCTACTGACTGGGATTTAACCCAAACCTACATTAGGGGTCTCGTCCCAACTATACTCTGAAGCTTATTGCTCCCACGTACGTGACTATCGGTCTCAAAGTATCCAAAACCACCTACGATAAACAACCACGCTTCAACAATCAAGAGTTCCTCGGGGAGGACCTAAAACTTTAGCGAGATGGTAAGAAATGGTAAGCTGGTGAGTTAATTAGAGCATGAAGTGAGGGGGCTTGGGTGAGAGGACCTGAAACTGGGGAAAAGATAGAGTAGCGCCCCGCCCCGGACTACCAAAAAAGGTAGGGGCGAAGAGAGGCGCGCAGAGTATATATTACTGTGTAGAGAGAGAAGACCTCGGGGAGGGATTCCCTCCCGAAACGTTATACCTAATATACAACTCTAAATAACTCACATAGTATTATACAAACACTTCCGGATATTGTTTGTACGGGTGCTCTTGTTATTTTCTTGAAAGGAACCCCCAGTTATCTTCAGGAAAATGACATTAAGAGCATCCCTGGTTACTAATCGGGAATATTAAGCTAAAGAAAGGCTGCAATTCCCTACGAGGGAATTGAGATAAGGCCTTGACCTTCTTGTAGCTAGCTGCTTGGAGCTAAAATGCAAGGCCGCAAACCCCGAAGCGGTGTTTGAGACAAGGCCTTGACCGACCCGTAGCTAGCTGCTTGTAGCTTGTAGCTCTGAGCTCGTAGCTGTTGGCCGGCCTTAAGAAACAAGGCCTAAAGCCTCGCCTGGGGCGTGGATTTAGACAAGGCCTTGACTTTATTCCTCAATGGAAATGCGAGGGAAACGAGCTACAAGCCCCTATTTGATAGGGGACAAACCGATGGTAAATCTCCTAGAGGTGATATACCATTAAAGGGGCCTTTTAAGGTGCCTTAAAAGGTGGATTTGTTAAATCAAGATTCAACAATGGAATTTATACGTTAAACACTGAATGTGTTTGACGACATCCTTAATTCAGGGGTCGGGGCTGCCTCTCTCTACCTCACCACCCCTGGAATAGGGTTGGCCAGTTTTCGTGACCACTCACTCAAACTGCCTATTCAGGGTATGGAGCCGGCGTCGATCGTATAGCAAGCTGAAAATAGGATACCTATTCGATCTAACATTCCACAGAGGGTATGCAACACCAGTAGTAATGCTGCAACGACAACCTCTAGTTTTGGCCCTCCCCGGGCCTTGAATTCTGTCGTCGATATGGAGAATAGGGGATTACCCTAGGGAAGTGAAAGGCTCTCCCGCAGGAGAGTTCATTTTCAAAAGTTCAATTTCCCTAGGAGCTACTGACTAGGATTTAACCCAAACCTACATTAGGGGTCTCGTCCCAACTATACTCCGAAGCTTATTGCTCCCACGTGCGTGACTATCGGTCTCAAAGTATCCGAAACCACCTACAATAAACAACCACGCTACAACAATCAAGAGTTCCACGGGGAGGACCTAAAACTTTAGCGAGATGGTAAGAAATGGTAAGCTGGTGAGTTAATTAGAGCATGAAGTTAGGGGGCTCGTGTGAGGACCCGAAACTGGGGAAAAGATAGAGTAGCGTCCCGCCCCGGACTACCAAAAAAGGTAGGGGCGGAGAGAGGCGCGCAAAGTATATATTATTGTGTAGGGAGAGAAGACCTCGGGGAGGGATTCCCTACCGAAACCTTATACCTAATATACAACTCTAAATAACTCACATAGTATTATACAAACACTTCCGGATATTGTTTGTACGGGCGCTCTTGTTATTTTCTAGAAAGGAACCCCCGGTTATCTTCAGGAAAATGACATTAAGAGCATCCCTGGTTACTAACCGGGAATATTAAGCTAAAGCCAGGCCGCAATTCCCTACGAGAGAATTGAGATAAGGCCTTGACCTTCTTGTAGCTAGCTGCTTGGAGCTAAAATGCAAGGCCGTAAACCCCGAAGCGGGGTTTGAGACAAGTCCTTGACCGACCCGTAGCTAGCTGCTTGTAGCTTATAGCTCAGAGCTCGTAGCTGCCGCCCGGCCTTAAGAAGAAAGGCCTAAATCCTCGCATGGGGCGTGGATTGAGACAAGGCCTTGACTTTATTCCTTAATGGAAATGCGAGGGAAACGAGCTACAAGCCCCTATTTGATAGGGGACAAACCGATGGTAAATCTCCTTGAGGTGATATACCATTAAAGGGGCCTTTTAAGGTGCCTTAAAAGGTGGATTTGTTAAATCAAGATTCAACAATGGAATTTATAAGTTAAACACTGAATGTGTTTGACGGCATCCTTCGTTCAGGGGTCGGGGCTGCCTCTCTCTACCTCACCACCCCTGAAATAGGTTTGGCCAGTTTTCGTGACCACTTACTCAAACTGCCTATTCAGGGTATGGAGTCGGCGTCAATCGTATAGCAAGCTGAAGATAGGATACCTATTCGATCCTAACATTCAGCAGAGGGTATGCAACACCAGTAGTAATGTTGCAACGACAACCTCTAGTTTTGGCCCTCCCCGGGCCTTGAATTCTGTCGTCGATGTGGAGAATAGGGGATTACCCTAGGGAAGTGAAAGGCTCTCCCGCAGGAGAGTTCATTTTCAAAAGTTCAATTTCCCTAGGAGCTACTGACTGGGATTTAACCCAAACCTACATTAGGGGTCTCGTCCCAACTATACTCCGAAGCTTATTGCTCCCACGTGCGTGACTATCAGTCTCAAAGTATCTGAAACCACCTACGATAAACAACCATGTTACAACAATCAAGAGTTCCTCGGGAAGGACCTAAAACTTTAGCGAGATGGTAAGAAATGGTAAGCTGGTGAGTTAATTAGAGCATGAAGTGAGGGGGCTCGGGTGAGGACCCGAAACTGGGGAAAAGATAGAGTAGCGCCCCACCTCGGACTACCAAAAAAGGTAGGGGCGGAGAGAGGCGCGCAGAGTATATATTACTGTGTAGGGAGAGAAGACCTCGGGGAGGGATTCCCTCCCGAAACCTTATACCTAATATACAACTCTAAATAACTCACATAGTATTATACAAACACTTCCGGATATTGTTTGTACGGGCGCTCTTGTTATTTTCTTGAAAGGAACCCCCGGTTATCTTCAGGAAAATGACATTAAGAGCATCCCTGGTTACTAACCGGGAATATTAAGCTAAAGCCAGGCCGCAATTCCCTACGAGAGAATTGAGATAAGGCCTTGACCTTCTTGTAGCTAGCTGCTTGGAGCTAAAATGCAAGGCCGCAAACCTCGAAGCGGGGTTTGAGACAAGTCCTTGACCGACCCGTAGCTAGCTGCTTGTAGCTTATAGCTCGGAGCTCGTAGCTGCCGCCCGGCCTTAAGAAGAAAGGCCTAAATCCTCACATGGGGCGTGGATTGAGACAAGGCCTTGACTTTATTCCTTAATGGAAATGCGAGGGAAACGAGCTACAAGCCCCTATTTGATAGGGGACAAACCGATGGTAAATCTCCTTGAGGTGATATACCATTAAAGGGGCCTTTTAAGGTGCCTTAAAAGGTGGATTTGTTAAATCAAGATTCAACAATGGAATTTATAAGTTAAACACTGAATGTGTTTGACGGCATCCTTCGTTCAGGGGTCGGGGCTGCCTCTCTCTACCTCACCACCCCTGAAATAGGGTTGGCCAGTTTTCGTGACCACTCACTCAAACTGCCTATTCAGGGTATGAAGCCGGCGTCAATCGTATAGCAAGCTGAAGATAGGATACCTATTCGATCCTAACATTTAGAAGAGGGTACACAACACCAGTAGTAATGCTGCAACGGCAACCTCTAGTTTTGGCCCTCCCCGGGCCTTGAATTCTGTCGTCGATGTGGAGAATAGGGGATTACCCTAGGGAAGTGAAAGGCTCTCCCGCAGGAGAGTTCATTTTCAAAAGTTCAATTTCCCTAGGAGCTACTGACTGGGATTTAACCCAAACCTACATTAGGGGTCTCGTCCCAACTATACTCCGAAGCTTATTGCTCCCACGTTGGTGACTATCAGTCTCAAAGTATCTGAAACCACCTACGATAAACAACCATGTTACAACAATCAAGAGTTCCTCGGGAAGGACCTAAAACTTTAGCGAGATGGTAAGAAATGGTAAGCTGGTGAGTTAATTAGAGCATGAAGTGAGGGGGCTCGGGTGAGGACCCGAAACTGGGGAAAAGATAGAGTAGCGCCCCACCTCGGACTACCAAAAAAGGTAGGGGCGGAGAGAGGCGCGCAGAGTATATATTACTGTGTAGGGAGAGAAGACCTCGGGGAGGGATTCCCTCCCGAAACCTTATACCTAATATACAACTCTAAATAACTCACATAATATTATACAAACACTTCCGGATATTGTTCGTACGGGCGCTCTTGTTATTTTCTTGAAAGGAACCCCCGGTTATCTTCAGGAAAATGACATTAAGAGCATCCCTGGTTACTAACCGGGAATATTAAGCTAAAGCAAGGCCGTAATTCCCTACGAGGGAATTGAGATAAGGCCTTGACCTTCTTGTAGCTAGCTTCTTGGAGCTAAAATGCAAGGCCGCAAACCCCGAAGCGTGGTTTGAGACAAGGCCTTGACCGACCCGTAGCTAGCTTCTTGTAGCTTGTAGCTCAGAGCTCGGAGCTGCCGGCCAACCTTAAGAAGCAAGGCCTAAATCCTCGCCTGGGGCATGGATTGAGACAAGGCCTTGACTTTATTCCTCAATGGAAATGCGAGGGAAACGAGCTACAAGCCCCTATTTGATAGGGGACAAACCGATGTTAAATCTCCTTGAGGTGATATACCATTAAAGGGGCCTTTTAAGGTGCCTTAAAAGGTGGATTTGTTAAATCAAGATTCAACAATGGAATTTATAAGTTAAACACTGAATGTGTTTGACGGCATCCTTCGTTCAGGGGTCGGGGCTGCCTCTCTCTACCTCACCACCCCTGGAATAGGGTTGGCCAGTTTTCGTGACAACTCACTCAAACTGCCTATTCAGGGTATGGAGCCGGCGTCGATCGTATAGCAAGCTGAAAATAGGATACCTATTCGATCCTAACATTCAGCAGAAGGTACGCAACACCAGTAGTAATGCTACGACGACAACCTCTAGTTTCGGCCCTCCCCGGGCCTTGAATTCTGTCGTCGATATGGAGAATAGGGGATTACCCTAGGGAAGTGAAAGGCTCTCCCGCAGGAGAGTTCATTTTCAAAAGTTCAATTTCCCTAGGAGCTACTGACTCGGATTTAACCCAAACTTACATTAGGGGTCTCATCCCAACTATACTCCGAAGCTTATTGCTCCCACGTGCGTGACTATCGGTCTTAAAGTATCCGAAACCACCTACGATAAACAACCACGCTACAACAATCAAGAGTTCCTCAGGGAGGACCTAAAACTTTAGCGAGATGGTAAGAAATGGTAAGCTGATGAGTTAATTAGAGCATGAAGTGAGGGGGCTCGAGTGAGGAACCGAAACTGGGGAAAAGATAGAGTAGCGCCCTGCCCCGGACTACCAAAAAAGGTAGGGGCGGAGAGAGGCACGCACAGTATATATTACTGTGTAGGGAGAGAAGACCTCGGGGAGGGATTCCCTCCCGAAACCTTATACCTAATATACAACTCTAAATAACTCACATAGTATTATACAAACACTTCCGGATATTGTTTGTACGGGCGCTCTTGTTATTTTCTTGAAAGGAACCCCCGGTTATCTTTAGGAAAATGACATTAAGAGCATCCCTGGTTACTAACCGGGAATATTAAGCTAAAGCAAGGCCGCAATTCCCTACGTGGGAATTGAGATAAGGCCTTGACCTTCTTGTAGCTAGCTGCTTGGAGCTAAAATGCAAGGCCGCAAACCCCGAAGCAGGGTTTGAGACAAGGCCTTGACCGACCCGTAGCTAGCTGCTTGTAGCTTGTAGCTCGGAGCTCGTAGCTGCCGGTCGGCCTTAAGAAGCAAGGCCTAAATCCTCGCATGGGGCGTGGATAGAGACAAGGCCTTGACTTTATTCCTCAATGGAAATGCGAGGGAAACGAGCTACAAGCCCCTATTTGATAGGGGACAAACCGATGGTAAATCTCCTTGAGGTGATATACCATTAAAGGGGCCTTTTAAGGTGCCTTAAAAGGTGGATTTGTTAAATCAAGATTCAACAATGGAATTTATAAGTTAAACACTTAATGTGTTTGACGGCATCCTTCATTCAGGGGTCGGGGCTGCCTCTCTCTACCTCACCACCCCTGGAATAGGTTTGGCCAGTTTTCGTGACCACTTACTCAAACTGCCTATTCAGGGTATGGAGTCGGCGTCGATCGTATAGCAAGCTGAAAATAGGATACCTATTCGATCCTAACATTCAGCAGAGGGTATGCAACACCAGTAGTAATGTTGCGACGACAACCTCTAGTTTCGGCCCTCCCCGGGCCTTGAATTCTGTCGTCGATGTGGAGAATAGTGGATTACCCTAGGGAAGTGAAAGGCTCTCCCGCATGAGAGTTCATTTTCAAAAGTTCAATTTCCCTAGGAGCTACTGACTGGGATTTAACCCAAACCTACATTAGGGGTCTCGTCCCAACTATACTCTGAAGCTTATTGCTCCCACGTGCGTGACTATCGGTCTCAAAGTATCTGAAACCACCTACGATAAACAACCACGCTACAACAATCAAGAGTTCCTCGGGGAGGACCTAAAACTTTAGCGAGATGGTAAGAAATGGTAAGCTGGTGAGTTAATTAGAGCATGAAGTGAGGGGGCTCGGGTGAGGACCCGAAACTGGGGAAAATATAGAGTAGCGCCCCGCCCCGGACTACCAAAAAAGGTAGGGGCGGAGAGAGGCGCGCAGAGTATATATTACTGTGTAGGGAGAGAAGACCTCGGGGAGGGATTCCCTCCCGAAACCTTATACCTAATATACAACTCTAAATAACTCACATAGTATTATACAAACACTTCCGGATATTGTTTGTACGGGCGCTCTTGTTATTTTCTTGAAAGGAACCCCCGGTTATCTTCAGGAAAATGACATTAAGAGCATCCCTGGTTACTAACCGGGAATATTAAGCTAAAGCAAGGCCGTAATTCCCTACGAGGGAATTGAGATAAGGCCTTGACCTTCTTGTAGCTAGCTGCTTGGAGCTAAAATGCAAGGCCGCAAACCCCGAAGCGTGGTTTGAGACAAGGCCTTGACCGACCCGTAGCTAGCTTCTTGTAGCTTGTAGCTCAGAGCTCGGAGCTGCCGGCCGACCTTAAGAAGCAAGGCCTAAATCCTCGCCTGGGGCATGGATTGAGACAAGGCCTTGACTTTATTCCTCAATGGAAATGCGAGGGAAACGAGCTACAAGCCCCTATTTGATAGGGGACAAACCGATGGTAAATCTCCTTGAGGTGATATACCATTAAAGGGGCCTTTTAAGGTGCCTTAAAAGGTGGATTTGTTAAATCAAGATTCAACAATGGAATTTATAAGTTAAACACTGAATGTGTTTGACGGCATCCTTCGTTCAGGGGTCGGGGCTGCCTCTCTCTACCTCACCACCCCTGAAATAGGGTTGGCCAGTTTTCGTGACCACTCACTCAAACTGCCTATTCAGGGTATGAAGCCGGCGTCAATCGTATAGCAAGCTGAAGATAGGATACCTATTCGATCCTAACATTTAGAAGAGGGTACACAACACCAGTAGTAATGCTGCAACGGCAACCTCTAGTTTTGGCCCTCCCCGGGCCTTGAATTCTGTCGTCGATGTTGAGAATAGGGGATTACCCTAGGGAAGTGAAAGGCTCTCCCGCAGGAGAGTTCATTTTCAAAAGTTCAATTTCCCTAGGAGCTACTGACTGGGATTTAACCCAAACCTACATTAGGGGTCTCGTCCCAACTATACTCCGAAGCTTATTGCTCCCACGTGCGTGACTATCAGTCTCAAAGTATCTGAAACCACCTACGATAAACAACCATGTTACAACAATCAAGAGTTCCTCGGGAAGGACCTAAAACTTTAGCGAGATGGTAAGAAATGGTAAGCTGGTGAGTTAATTAGAGCATGAAGTGAGGGGGCTCGGGTGAGGACCCGAAACTGGGGAAAAGATAGAGTAGCGCCCCACCTCGGACTACCAAAAAAGGTAGGGGCGGAGAGAGGCGCGCAGAGTATATATTACTGTGTAGGGAGAGAAGACCTCGGGGAGGGATTCCCTCCCGAAACCTTATACCTAATATACAACTCTAAATAACTCACATAGTATTATACAAACACTTCCGGATATTGTTTGTACGGGCGCTCTTGTTATTTTCTTGAAAGGAACCCCCGGTTATCTTCAGGAAAATGACATTAAGAGCATCCCTGGTTACTAACCGGGAATATTAAGCTAAAGCAAGGCCGTAATACCCTACGAGGGAATTGAGATAAGGCCTTGACCTTCTTGTAGCTAGCTGCTTGGAGCTAAAATGCAAGGCCGCAAACCCCGAAGCGTGGTTTGAGACAAGGCCTTGACCGACCCGTAGCTAGCTTCTTGTAGCTTGTAGCTCAGAGCTCGGAGCTGCCGGCCGACCTTAAGAAGCAAGGCCTAAATCCTCGCCTGGGGCATGGATTGAGACAAGGCCTTGACTTTATTCCTCAATGGAAATGCGAGGGAAACGAGCTACAAGCCCCTATTTGATAGGGGACAAACCGATGTTAAATCTCCTTGAGGTGATATACCATTAAAGGGGCCTTTTAAGGTGCCTTAAAAGGTGGATTTGTTAAATCAAGATTCAACAATGGAATTTATAAGTTAAACACTGAATGTGTTTGACGGCATCCTTCGTTCAGGGGTCGGGGCTGCCTCTCTCTACCTCACCACCCCTGGAATAGGGTTGGCCAGTTTTCGTGACAACTCACTCAAACTGCCTATTCAGGGTATGGAGCCGGCGTCGATCGTATAGCAAGTTGAAAATAGGATACCTATTCGATCCTAACATTCAGCAGAAGGTACGCAACACCAGTAGTAATGCTACGACGACAACCTCTAGTTTCGGCCCTCCCCGGGCCTTGAATTCTGTCGTCGATATGGAGAATAGGGGATTACCCTAGGGAAGTGAAAGGCTCTCCCGCAGGAGAGTTCATTTTCAAAAGTTCAATTTCCCTAGGAGCTACTGACTCGGATTTAACCCAAACTTACATTAGGGGTCTCATCCCAACTATACTCCGAAGCTTATTGCTACCACGTGCGTGACTATCGGTCTTAAAGTATCCGAAACCACCTACGATAAACAACCACGCTACAACAATCAAGAGTTCCTCAGGGAGGACCTAAAACTTTAGCGAGATGGTAAGAAATGGTAAGCTGATGAGTTAATTAGAGCATGAAGTGAGGGGGCTCGGGTGAGGAACCGAAACTGGGGAAAAGATAGAGTAGCGCCCTGCCCCGGACTACCAAAAAAGGTAGGGGCGGAGAGAGGCACGCACAGTATATATTACTGTGTAGGGAGAGAAGACCTCGGGGAGGGATTCCCTCCCGAAACCTTATACCTAATATACAACTCTAAATAACTCACATAGTATTATACAAACACTTCCGGATATTGTTTGTACGGGCGCTCTTGTTATTTTCTTGAAAGGAACCCCCAGTTATCTTTAGGAAAATGACATTAAGAGCATCCCTGGTTACTAACCGGGAATATTAAGCTAAAGCAAGGCCGCAATTCCCTACGTGGGAATTGAGATAAGGCCTTGACCTTCTTGTAGCTAGCTGCTTGGAGCTAAAATGCAAGGCCGCAAACCCCGAAGCAGGGTTTGAGACAAGGCCTTGACCGACCCGTAGCTAGCTGCTTGTAGCTTGTAGCTCGGAGCTCGTAGCTGCCGGTCGGCCTTAAGAAGCAAGGCCTAAATCCTCGCATGGGGCGTGGATAGAGACAAGGCCTTGACTTTATTCCTCAATGGAAATGCGAGGGAAACGAGCTACAAGCCCCTATTTGATAGGGGACAAACCGATGGTAAATCTCCTTGAGGTGATATACCATTAAAGGGGCCTTTTAAGGTGCCTTAAAAGGTGGATTTGTTAAATCAAGATTCAACAATGGAATTTATAAGTTAAACACTTAATGTGTTTGACGGCATCCTTCATTCAGGGGTCGGGGCTGCCTCTCTCTACCTCACCACCCCTGGAATAGGTTTGGCCAGTTTTCGTGACCACTTACTCAAACTGCCTATTCAGGGTATGGAGTCGGCGTCGATCGTATAGCAAGCTGAAAATAGGATACCTATTCGATCCTAACATTCAGCAGAGGGTATGCAACACCAGTAGTAATGTTGCGACGACAACCTCTAGTTTCGGCCCTCCCCGGGCCTTGAATTCTGTCGTCGATGTGGAGAATAGTGGATTACCCTAGGGAAGTGAAAGGCTCTCCCGCAGGAGAGTTCATTTTCAAAAGTTCAATTTCCCTAGGAGCTACTGACTGGGATTTAACCCAAACCTACATTAGGGGTCTCGTCCCAACTATACTCTGAAGCTTATTGCTCCCACGTGCGTGACTATCGGTCTCAAAGTATCTGAAACCACCTACGATAAACAACCACGCTACAACAATCAAGAGTTCCTCGGGGAGGACCTAAAACTTTAGCGAGATGGTAAGAAATGGTAAGCTGGTGAGTTAATTAGAGCATGAAGTGAGGGGGCTCGGGTGAGGACCCGAAACTGGGGAAAATATAGAGTAGCGCCCCGCCCCGGACTACCAAAAAAGGTAGGGGCGGAGAGAGGCGCGCAGAGTATATATTACTGTGTAGGGAGAGAAGACCTCGGGGAGGGATTCCCTCCCGAAACCTTATACCTAATATACAACTCTAAATAACTCACATAGTATTATACAAACACTTCCGGATATTGTTTGTACGGGCGCTCTTGTTATTTTCTTGAAAGGAACCCCCGGTTATCTTCAGGAAAATGACATTAAGAGCATCCCTGGTTACTAACCGGGAATATTAAGCTAAAGCAAGGCCGTAATTCCCTACGAGGGAATTGAGATAAGGCCTTGACCTTCTTGTAGCTAGCTGCTTGGAGCTAAAATGCAAGGCCGCAAACCCCGAAGCGTGGTTTGAGACAAGGCCTTGACCGACCCGTAGCTAGCTTCTTGTAGCTTGTAGCTCAGAGCTCGGAGCTGCCGGCCGACCTTAAGAAGCAAGGCCTAAATCCTCGCCTGGGGCATGGATTGAGACAAGGCCTTGACTTTATTCCTCAATGGAAATGCGAGGGAAACGAGCTACAAGCCCCTATTTGATAGGGGACAAACCGATGGTAAATCTCCTTGAGGTGATATACCATTAAAGGGGCCTTTTAAGGTGCCTTAAAAGGTGGATTTGTTAAATCAAGATTCAACAATGGAATTTATAAGTTAAACACTGAATGTGTTTGACGGCATCCTTCGTTCAGGGGTCGGGGCTGCCTCTCTCTACCTCACCACCCCTGAAATAGGGTTGGCCAGTTTTCGTGACCACTCACTCAAACTGCCTATTCAGGGTATGAAGCCGGCGTCAATCGTATAGCAAGCTGAAGATAGGATACCTATTCGATCCTAACATTTAGAAGAGGGTACACAACACCAGTAGTAATGCTGCAACGGCAACCTCTAGTTTTGGCCCTCCCCGGGCCTTGAATTCTGTCGTCGATGTGGAGAATAGGGGATTACCCTAGGGAAGTGAAAGGCTCTCCCGCAGGAGAGTTCATTTTCAAAAGTTCAATTTCCCTAGGAGCTACTGACTGGGATTTAACCCAAACCTACATTAGGGGTCTCGTCCCAACTATACTCCGAAGCTTATTGCTCCCACGTGCGTGACTATCAGTCTCAAAGTATCTGAAACCACCTACGATAAACAACCATGTTACAACAATCAAGAGTTCCTCGGGAAGGACCTAAAACTTTAGCGAGATGGTAAGAAATGGTAAGCTGGTGAGTTAATTAGAGCATGAAGTGAGGGGGCTCGGGTGAGGACCCGAAACTGGGGAAAAGATAGAGTAGCGCCCCACCTCGGACTACCAAAAAAGGTAGGGGCGGAGAGAGGCGCGCAGAGTATATATTACTGTGTAGGGAGAGAAGACCTCGGGGAGGGATTCCCTCCCGAAACCTTATACCTAATATACAACTCTAAATAACTCACATAGTATTATACAAACACTTCCGGATATTGTTTGTACGGGCGCTCTTGTTATTTTCTTGAAAGGAACCCCCGGTTATCTTCAGGAAAATGACATTAAGAGCATCCCTGGTTACTAACCGGGAATATTAAGCTAAAGCAAGGCCGTAATACCCTACGAGGGAATTGAGATAAGGCCTTGACCTTCTTGTAGCTAGCTGCTTGGAGCTAAAATGCAAGGCCGCAAACCCCGAAGCGTGGTTTGAGACAAGGCCTTGACCGACCCGTAGCTAGCTTCTTGTAGCTTGTAGCTCAGAGCTCGGAGCTGCCGGCCGACCTTAAGAAGCAAGGCCTAAATCCTCGCCTGGGGCATGGATTGAGACAAGGCCTTGACTTTATTCCTCAATGGAAATGCGAGGGAAACGAGCTACAAGCCCCTATTTGATAGGGGACAAACCGATGTTAAATCTCCTTGAGGTGATATACCATTAAAGGGGCCGTTTAAGGTGCCTTAAAAGGTGGATTTGTTAAATCAAGATTCAACAATGGAATTTATAAGTTAAACACTGAATGTGTTTGACGGCATCCTTCGTTCAGGGGTCGGGGCTGCCTCTCTCTACCTCACCACCCCTGGAATAGGGTTGGCCAGTTTTCGTGACAACTCACTCAAACTGCCTATTCAGGGTATGGAGCCGGCGTCGATCGTATAGCAAGTTGAAAATAGGATACCTATTCGATCCTAACATTCAGCAGAAGGTACGCAACACCAGTAGTAATGCTACGACGATAACCTCTAGTTTCGGCCCTCCCCGGGCCTTGAATTCTGTCGTCGATATGGAGAATAGGGGATTACCCTAGGGAAGTGAAAGGCTCTCCCGCAGGAGAGTTCATTTTCAAAAGTTCAATTTCCCTAGGAGCTACTGACTCGGATTTAACCCAAACTTACATTAGGGGTCTCATCCCAACTATACTCCGAAGCTTATTGCTCCCACGTGCGTGACTATCGGTCTTAAAGTATCTGAAACCACCTACGATAAACAACCACGCTACAACAATCAAGAGTTCCTCAGGGAGGACCTAAAACTTTAGCGAGATGGTAAGAAATGGTAAGCTGATGAGTTAATTAGAGCATGAAGTGAGGGGGCTCGGGTGAGGAACCGAAACTGGGGAAAAGATAGAGTAGCGCCCTGCCCCGGACTACCAAAAAAGGTAGGGGCGGAGAGAGGCACGCACAGTATATATTACTGTGTAGGGAGAGAAGACCTCGGGGAGGGATTCCCTCCCGAAACCTTATACCTAATATACAACTCTAAATAACTCACATAGTATTATACAAACACTTCCGGATATTGTTTGTACGAGCGCTCTTGTTATTTTCTTGAAAGGAACCCCCGGTTATCTTTAGGAAAATGACATTAAGAGCATCCCTGGTTACTAACCGGGAATATTAAGCTAAAGCAAGGCCGCAATTCCCTACGTGGGAATTGAGATAAGGCCTTGACCTTCTTGTAGCTAGCTGCTTGGAGCTAAAATGCAAGGCCGCAAACCCCGAAGCAGGGTTTGAGACAAGGCCTTGACCGACCCGTAGCTAGCTGCTTGTAGCTTGTAGCTCGGAGCTCGTAGCTGCCGGTCGGCCTTAAGAAGCAAGGCCTAAATCCTCGCATGGGGCGTGGATAGAGACAAGGCCTTGACTTTATTCCTCAATGGAAATGCGAGGGAAACGAGCTACAAGCCCCTATTTGATAGGGGACAAACCGATGGTAAATCTCCTTGAGGTGATATACCATTAAAGGGGCCTTTTAAGGTGCCTTAAAAGGTGGATTTGTTAAATCAAGATTCAACAATGGAATTTATAAGTTAAACACTTAATGTGTTTGACGGCATCCTTCATTCAGGGGTCGGGGCTGCCTCTCTCTACCTCACCACCCCTGGAATAGGTTTGGCCAGTTTTCGTGACCACTTACTCAAACTGCCTATTCAGGGTATGGAGACGGCGTCGATCGTATAGCAAGCTGAAAATAGGATACCTATTCGATCCTAACATTCAGCAGAGGGTATGCAACACCAGTAGTAATGTTGCGACGACAACCTCTAGTTTCGGCCCTCCCCGGGCCTTGAATTCTGTCGTCGATGTGGAGAATAGTGGATTACCCTAGGGAAGTGAAAGGCTCTCCCGCAGGAGAGTTCATTTTCAAAAGTTCAATTTCCATAGGAGCTACTGACTGGGATTTAACCCAAACCTACATTAGGGGTCTCGTCCCAACTATACTCCGAAGCTTATTGCTCCCACGTGCGTGACTATCGGTCTCAAAGTATCTGAAACCACCTACGATAAACAACCACGCTACAACAATCAAGAGTTCCTCGGGGAGGACCTAAAACTTTAGCGAGATGGTAAGAAATGGTAAGCTGGTGAGTTAATTAGAGCATGAAGTGAGGGGGCTCGGGTGAGGACCCGAAACTGGGGAAAATATAGAGTAGCGCCCCGCCCCGGACTACCAAAAAAGGTAGGGGCGGAGAGAGGCGCGCAGAGTATATATTACTGTGTAGGGAGAGAAGACCTCGGGGAGGGATTCCCTCCCGAAACCTTATACCTAATATACAACTCTAAATAACTCACATAGTATTATACAAACACTTCCGGATATTGTTTGTACGGGCGCTCTTGTTATTTTCTTGAAAGGAACCCCCGGTTATCTTCAGGAAAATGACATTAAGAGCATCCCTGGTTACTAACCGGGAATATTAAGCTAAAGCAAGGCCGTAATTCCCTACGAGGGAATTGAGATAAGGCCTTGACCTTCTTGTAGCTAGCTGCTTGGAGCTAAAATGCAAGGCCGCAAACCCCGAAGCGTGGTTTGAGACAACGCCTTGACCGACCCGTAGCTAGCTTCTTGTAGCTTGTAGCTCAGAGCTCGGAGCTGCCGGCCGACCTTAAGAAGCAAGGCCTAAATCCTCGCCTGGGGCATGGATTGAGACAAGGCCTTGACTTTATTCCTCAATGGAAATGCGAGGGAAACAAGCTACAAGCCCCTATTTGATAGGGGACAAACCGATGTTAAATCTCCTTGAGGTGATATACCATTAAAGGGGCCTTTTAAGGTGCCTTAAAAGGTGGATTTGTTAAATCAAGATTCAACAATGGAATTTATAAGTTAAACACTGAATGTGTTTGACGGCATCCTTCGTTCAGGGGTTGGGGCTGCCTCTCTCTACCTCACCACCCCTGGAATAGGGTTGGCCAGTTTTCGTGACAACTCACTCAAACTGCCTATTCAGGGTATGGAGCCGGCGTCGATCGTATAGCAAGCTGAAAATAGGATACATATTCGATCCTAACATTCAGCAGAGGGTACGCAACACCAGTAGTAATGCTACGACGACAACCTCTAGTTTCGGCCCTCCCCGGGCCTTGAATTCTGTCGTCGATATGGAGAATAGGGGATTACCCTAGGGAAGTGAAAGGCTCTCCCGCAGGAGAGTTCATTTTCAAAAGTTCAATTTCCCTAGGAGCTACTGACACGGATTTAACCCAAACCTACATTAGGGGTCTCATCCCAACTATACTCCGAAGCTTATTGCTCCCACGTGCGTGACTATCGGTCTTAAAGTATCCGAAACCACCTACGATAAACAACCACGCTACAACAATCAAGAGTTCCTCGGGGAGGACCTAAAACTTTAGCGAGATGGTAAGAAATGGTAAGCTGATGAGTTAATTAGAGCATGAAGTGAGGGGGCTCGGGTGAGGAACCGAAACTGGGGAAAAGATAGAGTAGCGCCCCGCCCCGGACTACCAAAAAAGGTAGGGGCGGAGAGAGGCACGCACAGTATATATTACTGTGTAGGGAGAGAAGACCTCGGGGAGGGATTCCCTCCCGAAACCTTATACCTAATATACAACTCTAAATAATTCACATAGTATTATAAAAACACTTCCGGATATTGTTTGTACGGGCGCTCTTTTTATTTTCTTGAAAGGAACCCCCGGTTATCTTCAGGAAAATGACATTAAGAGCATCCCTGGTTACTAACCGGGAATATTAAGCTAAAGCAAGGCCGCAATTCCCTACGTGGGAATTGAGATAAGGCCTTGACCTTCTTGTAGCTAGCTGCTTGGAGCTAAAATGCAAGGCCGCAAACCCCGAAGCAGGGTTTGAGACAAGGCCTTGACTGACCCGTAGCTAGCTGCTTGTAGCTTGTAGCTCGGAGCTCGTAGCTGCCGGTCGGCCTTAAGAAGCAAGGCCTAAATCCTCGCATGGGGCGTGGATTGAGACAAGGCCTTGACTTTATTCCTCAATGGAAATGCGAGGGAAACGAGCTACAAGCCCCTATTTGATAGGGGACAAACCGATGGTAAATCTCCTTGAGGTGATATACCATTAAAGGGGCCTTTTAAGGTGCCTTAAAAGGTGGATTTGTTAAATCAAGATTCAACAATGGAATTTATAAGTTAAACACTTAATGTGTTTGACGGCATCCTTAGTTCAGGGGTCGGGGCTGCCTCTCTCTACCTCACCACCCCTGGAATAGGTTTGGCCAGTTTTCGTGACCACTTACTCAAACTGCCTATTCAGGGTATGGAGCCGGCGTCGATCGTATAGCAAGCTGAAAATAGGATACCTATTCGATCCTAACATTCAGCAGAGGGTATGCAACACCAGTAGTAATGTTGCGACGACAACCTCTAGTTTCGGCCCTCCCCGGGCCTTGAATTCTGTCGTCGATGTGGAGAATAGTGGATTACCCTAGGGAAGTGAAAGGCTCTCCCGCAGGAGAGTTCATTTTCAAAAGTTCAATTTCCCTAGGAGCTACTGACTGGGATTTAACCCAAACCTACATTAGGGGTCTCGTCCCAACTATACTCCGAAGCTTATTGCTCCCACGTGCGTGACTATCAGTCTCAAAGTATCTGAAACCACCTACGATAAACAACCATGTTACAACAATCAAGAGTTCCTCGGGAAGGACCTAAAACTTTAGCGAGATGGTAAGAAATGGTAAGCTGGTGAGTTAATTAGAGCATGAAGTGAGGGGGCTCGGGTGAGGACCCGAAACTGGGGAAAAGATAGAGTAGCGCCCCACCTCGGACTACCAAAAAAGGTAGGGGCGGAGAGAGGCACGCACAGTATATATTACTGTGTAGGGAGAGAAGACCTTGGGGAGGGATTCCCTCCCGAAACCTTATACCTAATATACAACTCTAAATAATTCACATAGTATTATAAAAACACTTCCGGATATTGTTTGTACGGGCGCTCTTTTTATTTTCTTGAAAGGAACCCCCGGTTATCTTCAGGAAAATGACATTAAGAGCATCCCTGGTTACTAACCGGGAATATTAAGCTAAAGCAAGGCCGCAATTCCCTACGTGGGAATTGAGATAAGGCCTTGACCTTCTTGTAGCTAGCTGCTTGGAGCTAAAATGCAAGGCCGCAAACCCCGAAGCAGGGTTTGAGACAAGGCCTTGACCGACCCGTAGCTAGCTGCTTGTAGCTTGTAGCTCGGAGCTCGTAGCTGCCGGTCGGCCTTAAGAAGCAAGGCCTAAATCCTCGCATGGGGCGTGGATTGAGACAAGGCCTTGACTTTATTCCTCAATGGAAATGCGAGGGAAACGAGCTACAAGCCCCTATTTGATAGGGGACAAACCGATGGTAAATCTCCTTGAGGTGATATACCATTAAAGGGGCCTTTTAAGGTGCCTTAAAAGGTGGATTTGTTAAATCAAGATTCAACAATGGAATTTATAAGTTAAACACTTAATGTGTTTGACGGCATCCTTAGTTCAGGGGTCGGGGCTGCCTCTCTCTACCTCACCACCCCTGGAATAGGTTTGGCCAGTTTTCGTGACCACTTACTCAAACTGCCTATTCAGGGTATGGAGCCGGCGTCGATCGTATAGCAAGCTGAAAATAGGATACCTATTCGATCCTAACATTCAGCAGAGGGTATGCAACACCAGTAGTAATGTTGCGACGACAACCTCTAGTTTCGGCCCTCCCCGGGCCTTGAATTCTGTCGTCGATGTGGAGAATAGTGGATTACCCTAGGGAAGTGAAAGGCTCTCCCGCAGGAGAGTTCATTTTCAAAAGTTCAATTTCCCTAGGAGCTACTGACTGGGATTTAACCCAAACCTACATTAGGGGTCTCGTCCCAACTATACTCCGAAGCTTATTGCTCCCACGTGCGTGACTATCGGTCTCAAAGTATCTGAAACCACCTACGATAAACAACCACGCCACAACAATCAAGAGTTCCTCGGGGAGGACCTAAAACTTTAGCGAGATGGTAAGAAATGGTAAGCTGGTGAGTTAATTAGAGCATGAAGTGAGGGGGCTCGGGTGAGGACCCGAAACTGGGGAAAATATAGAGTAGCGCCCCGCCCCGGACTACCAAAAAAGGTAGGGGCGGAGAGAGGCGCGTAGAGTATATATTACTGTGTAGGGAGAGAAGACCTCGGGGAGGGATTCCCTCCCGAAACCTTATACCTAATATACAACTCTAAATAACTCACATAGTATTATACAAACACTTCCGGATATTGTTTGTACGGGCACTCTTGTTATTTTCATGAAAGGAAACCCCGGTTATCTTCAGGAAAATAACATTAAGAGCATCCCTTGTTACTAACCGGGAATATTAAGCTAAAGCAAGGCCGCAATTCCTACGAGGGAATTGAGATAAGGCCTTGACCTTCTTGTAGCTAGCTGCTTGAAGCTAAAATGCAAGTCCGCAAACCCCGAAGCGGGGTTTGAGACAAGGCCTTGACCGACCCATAGCTAGCTGCTTGTAGCTTATAGCTCAGAGCTCGTAGCTGTCGGTCGGCCTTAAGAAGCAAGGCCTAAATCCTCGCCTGGGGTGTGGATTGAGATAAGGCCTTGACTTTATTCCTCAATGGAAATGCGAGGGAAACGAGCTACAAGCCCCTATTTGATAGGGGACAAACCGATGGTAAATCTCCTTGAGGTGATATACCATTAAAAGGGCCTTTTAAGGTGCCTTAAAAGGTGGATTTGTTAAATCAAGATTCAACAATGGAATTTATAAGTTAAACACTGAATGTGTTTGACGACATCCTTCGTTCAGGGGTCGGGGCTGCCTCTCTCTACCTCACCACCCCTGAAATAGGGTTGGCCAGTTTTCGTGACCACTCACTCAAACTGCCTATTCAGGGTATGAAGCCGGCGTCGATCGTATAGCAAGCTGAAAATAGGATACCTATTCGATCCTAACATTCAGCAGAGGGTACGCAACACCAGTAATAATGTTGCGACGGCAACCTCTAGTTTCGGCCCTCCCCGGGCCTTGAATTCTGTCGTCGATGTGGAGAATAGGGGATTACCCTAGGGAAGTGAAAGGCTCTCCCGCAGGAGAGTTCATTTTCAAAAGTTCAATTTCCCTAGGAGCTACTGACTGGGATTTAACCCAAACCTACATTAGGGGTCTCGTCCCAACTATACTCCGAAGCTTATTGCTCCCACGTGCGTGACTATCAGTCTCAAAGTATCCGAAACCACCTACGATAAACAATCACGCTACAACAATCAAGAGTTCCTCGGGGAGGACCTAAAAATTTAGCGAGATGGTAAGAAATAGTAAGCTCGTGAGTTAATTAGAGCATGAAGTGAGGGGGCTCGGGTGAGGACCCGAAACTGGGGAAAAGATAGAGTAGCGCCCCGCCCCGGACTACCAAAAAAGGTAGGGGCGGAGAGAGGCGCGTAGATTATATATTACTGTGTAGGGAGAGAAGACCTCGGGGAGGGATTCCCTCCCGAAACCTTATACCTAATATACAACTCTAAATAACTCACACAGTAATATACAAACACTTCCGGATATTGTTTGTACGGGCG